TTTTGTTGTTTTATTGCTCTAGGAAACAATGAGCAACATAAAACGACCGAGCTCGAATGTAGCAGCTTTTAGGGAGATTCTATCGAAGGCCAGAAATGCACTTATCATAACCGGTGCGGGTATCAGTGCTGAAAGCGGTGTTCCTACTTTCCGTGGTGCCGGAGGCCTGTGGAGAAACTATAACGCCCAAGTTTGTTGACTGAGATTTGCGCATAAGTTTCAGTAGGATCTTGCAACTCTGAACGCTTTTTGTGACGATCCTGGACTTGTTTGGGAGTTTTATCACTATCGGAGGGAACTGGTCCGTAAAACGGAACCGAATCCAGGACATGTGGCTCTAGTAAACGCAGAAAAAGTATTCACGAAAGACCGTCGATCGTTCACGATTGTCACACAGAATGTCGATGGTCTTCATTTACGCGCGGGAAGCAAAAACGTTATTGAACTACACGGTACGTCTGTGACTGAAGAACCGTCTCGTGGTGTTTCAATCTCGTGTTTTATGTTAGCCATCCAATTTCTTCATCTCCTTAGTCTTTTTGATTATTATGCCCAGGGGTCGATTAGTTTCGAGCGGACTAGTGCGGTGATTACTTACTATCTTCGTTTCTCCTAAGTATCTCTGAGATGATTGTTCGGCTCCGTTTATCCTGATGGTCCATGATGATTCTCGCGATTGTCGAAAATGCACTGTGCCCGGGGTCATTTGGCTTACTTTTTCGAGGTTGCCTTTGCACATGCAGACAGCCTACAATGCACGAGGATTGTTCCAGAGAGATCAGTGGTTAGTGAATTGTTTCAGTATCCTCCTCTGAAAACCCTTATGAGTGGATGGGATACGGGGTTATGGTCTCATTCCTGGCTGATCACTTGCTTCAGCCAAACCGTGAACTCTCCTGGAAGAGGAATTTAATCCACCTTTGTCCTTCTAAAGCTTCTCATTGACAAGAGCGGAATTCATAAAGGTTGCAACAATGACCAAGCCCATTGGCAAATGAAATATGCGATTGTCACCCATTTGCAAATAATATCTGAATTGGTAGCTAATTTGTACCAACGAATGTTGGATAGGACGATGGTTTCTCACTCGTAAAAACACTGTCATTTCATCCATTTACAAAAATGGCTTTCGAAATATTTCCAGTTTTATTTCTTGCTCAGTAAAAGTAATGACAATAATTTTTTCTGATTTCCTGGTGGATTATTTCAAGGAGTAGGACGCTCTGTCGTTGCCTCAATACTGGTTTCAACAAAAACGACTATACACAACTAATTCTTTACTTACGGGAGATACGTAAACAAGGGTAGCCGACGCAGGGGAAGCTGTTGGCTTGATCTGTTTGAACTCCAAAAGCCTTTTGTTAAATAAACCATTTTATACTACTGAGTAAGCTTCATAATAACAGTATTTTAAAACCCCCCTTTGGTTGGATTAATAGATTTCTTAGACAACTTACCATATCAGTTCGAGTTAACGGTTTAGCTTGAACACCGATTGAAGCAGTATTTTGAGTTCCGCAGGCATCCACACTCAGTCCCCACTTTTTCATAGCATTTATAAACGATAAACTAAATGAATAAAACAAGTAACACGAAATGAGCAGAATCAGTATTGATCATCAATTTCGCGTGCTCTCAGTCAGCTGTGTGCGCGCATCAAATAGGTTGAAACGTTATAAGAAGAATACAGTTACATAATCATGTTGCTTCAAACGGGAAAATATTTTGTTGGCAAGTCATCACCAAACTCATTTGGAAATGAGTGAACGAGAAGGGGCTGATAGGGATTGCAAAGAGTT